CACTGTGCAGACATTTAATTAAACTTACAAACATACTCGGGCAAACAACCATATCCAACACCAGCCACAGTGCCTCACGGTTCACTCTGTTAAGGGCTTTAGTGAAAGCGACAAATACCAGATACAATGGGTGGTATCGCTCACATCATTTCTCCTGCAAATGACGAGCCACAAACACCTTGTTGATGGTGCTGCAGCTGGAACGGAATCTGCAGTGCCGTTCCGCCAAGCGCCGTTCAAGTGCCTGTGTAACCAGGTGGTTGAGCAGAATTCGGGCAAACACCTTACTCATGTACAACTCAGCATGTTGAGAACCACGATAATTCGTGGCACATTGCTTGCTTCCTTTGACCTAATACAGTGATTTCACAAGGGCATCGTTCAGCTCGGCCGGCCGTTCCTCCTTAAATCCACACGCGTTGTACCAAATGGTGCAGCGCATTTACCAACGCCGGTCAGCCATGTTTCAACACTTCTGGCCGTAACCCTCGGTTCCAGCGTAACTGTCGTTTCGCAGCTGAGCAAAGACTTTCTGCGCCCCATCCAGTGTCGACAAGTCAATCCAGCAATGCGTTTTAGGCACCTATGAAGAGTGCATCTTCATCTCTGACACACACGCTAATGACACAGATAAAAGTACTGAAAAGTATAACGAACGGATATGGTGCGTCAGCAATTTGAAAATGTGATAGAGGTGATTTCATCGAGTCAATTTTGGTACTCAGTTCCTGTTTGAATGAATTTTGATCCCTCGAAAAGCATGAAAAATTTGACACAACTGGCGTGTTGTAAACCCTTGTGTGGGCATAAATGGCAATATACGATTTTGTGTTAGAGAAAACCGGGCTACGCTCTGGAGGGGTGAGTGACATCGAGTATTTGGACGCCAAGTTTTCGCAGGAGTGAACGGCGAATTGACAAAGCACCATGTGGACCTCGTCAACTCAGCACGAGCGGCCTATTGGTCTACTGGCCTGCCTGCCTGCCTGTTGGTCAATCTGTAGCGAAGTGCGTACCACCCTTTCTTTAGACCAGAAACAACATTAAGATCAGCTTGGAGAACAGGACAAAACCTACTAGCAAGAAGCTTGTCACAACAGATTAGACGCCAGCAATTTCCATCTATTCGGAAGCACAACGAACCGATCCTTGATGGCTTCTTCAGTTGGTCTTTAGTGTCTGACTGTGGGGTTCCATGGGGAACGCATCTGACCATGACACCAAGTGGTGTTCACGATGACAGTGAGTTGCCCCTTAATTAGCCGCGGTCTAACTTAGATCGCAAGTATCATGGAATGTCGAAACCCCAAAACGCTATTCTCTCCTCATTCCGTGGATTCAGCCCCCTCCCCATCCGGAGGGGCGTTTGCCACGGAGAAAACACGTGCCTCTTACGCTACTACCGAGAAGTGAATGAACTTGCTGTGTTATCCCCATTGCGTTGTGGAATTCAACTGGCCCGTGAGAAGCGTGTGTGCAGGGTTCACGTGCCCAGCTAAATGATGTAATCACATGGAATGTCAAAGGGAAACAGGTAACTCTGTCCGTAATCTTTCTCTGTCGGGTGACTCACCGAGTTCCGTTGCACGGTTCATGCTCAAAACAATGACGGGCGGATCTCACACGTGCACCGCGAGTACTCGGAAATGACGCAAGCGGCGTGTGCGTTCGTGACTGCACGCGCGCGTGCGCCGTAAGTGCGCACAAAACACGTGTGACGCGCTCATACGCGACTGTCCGTAAACCTTGGTGGCGCGCGGCTAATTAAACCTTACACGTTCAACAAAACACGTTCTCGAGACTGCCACTCCTCCTTACAGTCCTTTTATTTCTCCGGATAATTGAGCGTGCCAAACTATGAATTAGTTTGGGTTATGCAAAACATGCCGAAAGAAATAGAGTACTCTGTAACCTGACTGTAACGACCCCTTGCCGCGGTCAGCGTTGGTGTACCGTTCGGGTTTTAATTGACTCCTGTGAAACTGGACTGAGTGAAGCTGAAATGTCTGGTGGGTTTAGATTTAGGTTCGGCTACTCACATTACATACTAGTCAAGGGGTCAAATATCTAGAGATCACATATTTGCGAACTATCTGAACCTCTTGGTTGGCTACAGTAGGTGGTCCCATAAACGTCATTGTCATTTGCTGTGACCTCTAGGTTAGACGATAACCAAGGGTCACTGGACAAGTAGTCGAAAGTGACATTCCTTGTCGATGAAACCTATCGAAGCCCAGTACCACTGTGAGAGAGATAGTTTTATTCAAAGCTTCCGGGTGTCTTCTGATTGTGAGGACAAGGGATGATCGCCTGGATACGTCAGACTTCCGCATAACCCACGCGGAATCGTACCGTAAGAACACAGTGAACGAGACATAATTCCGTACTCCGCAACAGAACCTAAGATGGTTCGTTGAACATGTGTAAGGCAAAGTAGGACTAAGTTCGTAGCATACCGAAAAAACGTTGAGTACGTTATGATGTGCATTTTGCGAAGAAAAGTCGATGGCCATTGAGAGAGAGAGCAGCGGGTGTTGTTTAGATCCATAATATGGAAGAGAGATGCACCGAGAACAGTCGAAAGGGGTCGCTCTAGTATAAACCCATTGTTGCGCTGGTTCATTCCTCGAGCATTGTCCAAACGGCGGCGTGCGGTTGTGTCCAAAACGGCAGCCGGAAAAGTCAGTAAAAGATTAGGGCACAGGTATGTTTTTAACTCCATGCGGCACCGTTTATGTTTAATGACAATTGTTTACCGAAAAACTGTTAATCGCCGACTTCGGCGTGTAGTGTCTGTAGGGGTCTCACTTGGTTTGGTGGAGGTGCAACTTGGTCAGCTGCAGACACGGTGGCAAGGAACGAGCAAGTTTTTAGAAAAGCTAGACCCAGTTTGGTGTTCACTGCTTTCTTAGATGGGTGCTGGTGAAGGCGCGGTCCTTCAAGACGCCGTCGTGAGATCCCTGACCGTTTCTTCCAATTACTTGTCTCCCTATTGGGACACTGCATCTTACTCGTTTAGCTGCTTATGTCCAGCGTAGCTCAAATTTCCCTTAAAATATTATCAGTTTTCGTGATGGTAATACGGAACAGGCAAATGTTATGGTGTTGAAATAATCTGGAGCCCAAATCCGCGCTTCCTCTCACAGCCAACCGCCATTTTAGCCAACTAGACTGCAGCTCGATGGGACCGAAGAAAAAATCCCCTTCTTCAAAACCCCAGCCTTCTTTATTGTGACCGTGCATCATCCACAGTTAAGTTGCGCTCGTGTCCATCCTCGTGGGCACAGCAGCGGTTGATGACTGTTTCTGGTGGGGTATGCTCCAATCTGATGACTATTTCTGGATTTCCGCTGCCACTAAGGCTTATAGGTATTAGTAACTGTGATAACGCGAAATCAAAGGTATCGGCATTGCTATGTTGTTGTCCTGTTGTACAGTGCAATTATGATAGTCCAGCACACTGTTCGCCTAACCTGTATCTCAGACCAGATGTATGGCTTAAGCTGGTAATGTGAAGTAAGTTGCCCGGAAAATTGTACGGTTGCCATCCGCATAGTGATCAGCGGTTATCAATTTCCTTTATCATATTTAGCACAGGGGATTCAGTTTCTTAGACAAAAATAGGCCATGAGGGGGCTTGAATCTGAAATATGTGAACGCAGGTATGGACACCACATTCCGCTGACCTACAGTGGTTTGTCTAATCCCGTGATTCGCTTCCGGCAAGATGACAAACACCAGCGACCAAGCTTGGGATTTCAGCCTAATAGGCGTGTCAATGGTAAACAACAAAGTCTGAGGTGACCAGCTGGTATGTAGGCGAAACCATAACCTTACCAGCGTATATGATCGGCCGGCTATAAGGTCGCTGCTGCTGCTGCTGCTGCCGAGGTAAAAGGAGTTACGGCTACCTTCAATGATTAGATCGTTTTGAGGTCAGCAGTTTATCAAGCTGCTGACCGTAAGTCGGGCTGCTGCCGGATCGTAATTGAGCTAGTACTACTGTACAGACTGCGGCTAGGCGAGAAAATTGTTAACGTAAATTGAATCATCGAAGAAGACGAAGCGGCTAGCGAGTTAGACATGAATAGTATGTGGTCCGCTGAAAAATCTACGTTCTGCGACTGGTTTACTTCATGTTCGAGCTTTCAAGTAGTGGTAACCGAGACAAGAAGCAAACCAATAAAAACATCAGTAAACGTGTTTATCACTACAACCTTACACCTGATGATGGCTGCACGCCCCAACCAATTCATGTAACAAGCACTTCGAGCAAGCGAACGAGGTGTTAACAATAATTACGACAAATGGAGCTCGGTGGTGCAGAAGCAAAATGAGACAACGTGGACGGCTATATAACTTAGAACTTACTGCTACGAACCCTCAATTAATTATACCAAAAATCCTTTGTTCGCAATTAACAAACATACGCGCCTTAACAGATTCGAAATGTTACACCCCACATGACAGCTGTTACGAGAGGCGGTGGCTCTAAGGACCATCCCCGTCCCCCTCGGCTTTTGTGTGCGGGCCATCACCACTTGAGGGGGTCACACATCACGAAATCGACTCCGGATTGCAGTAGCGGGACTAGACAGCGTGCATAAGCTAGGATTTGACAACCAAGCTTACAACATTGCATCGAAATGTTTGTCACTAAGACACACCTGCTCTGGTAGAGTCTACCAATGTAATGTAATTCATGACCTTCTGTTTAAATGAAACAGCTAGAGTCCCATGAAGAAACAGGTCGAATTCCTTTAATGCACGTCATATTTCCGCACGGGGAACATATTCGATGGATTATACACTTTTGCAGGCGGTCCTCCACCTCCACCCGGGGGATTCCAGTATGTGCCCGAAATATGCAGTTTATCAAGGCCATTGTTTGATTTTCTTTCTGTTCCCACTTACTGTATTATCGTTGGCACTAATCACCAGTAGCCGCCAAATTTATTAGTCTATACATTTTGAACACTTTCATGAATCGTTTTTTTCAGCAGCACCTTCTTCGTTCCAAATGCGATCACAACTTCCACTCAATCTACTTCCTCCGGTTGAACACCAGTCCGAATCCACTCTGAATCCCACCTCTGACGTTCCTGCTGCTGAAGCGAGTCAGACGAAGGTTGACGGCGCCTCGTTCGACTTTGACACAGTTGCGGGGTGCCTTCTAGAGGATAAACAGTGCAATTCTGGAGCTCTTCTCAGTTCTTCGTCAACATCCCCATTGTTATCTCCCCTTGGGATCCAAGCACGTGCAACATGCACCGTCCCCACGATTGCCGAGAACACGCTGCCCCCAATGAACGGTTTGCCCAATGGGCTCGAAGATGCTGCAGTCTACGCTACAAACAAAGCGCAAAACACCAGCATGTCTGTAACAGCCAGCGGACCCTGGTTCACTTCGGACCACGTGACCACGTGCAGTAGCCAGTACGGAGGTATCATTACTGCTTTGGAATCTGTGAACTGGAATACTCTTCCATCTACTCGCCCGTGGTTCCATGCGCACCATCAAAACGCATCGCATACCACTGGTGTGGATCTTACTGGAACATCCGACACCGGTATGCAGCGAATTGATCAAGCCTCTACAAGTACTGGACAGTTCTGGCCCGCGTGGGCTTTTCCGGTTCCTACGGACACTCCTGGCTACGGTGTTGATGGCGATCGATTTTCCGGATGTAGTGGAGTTGAGGGAGATGGAGAAGAGGAAGGGACAGATGATGACGAAGAAGCCGTTTGCTCATCTTCACATACAGCTGCTTTGTATGGGGACAGTGATCTAGTCACTAGCTGGGTCACGGACTACCGTAGAATGGACTCTAAATTATTGGCACTTCAGAATGAACATATTTCAACCCACTATGGTAAGTAATGTAAGCATAACCCAAGTAGTAGGTATATTATCATGTTTATCCTACAACTTTACCTTATCCAAATTGCTCAATTTATTCCACCCGTTAACTGAAATTGGATAATTCGACAGGGCGTTTTTATTGCTCCTTACATGCGCACAGTGTGTGTGTGGTACGCCTGTCTGCGACGTTTTTTCTCTTCGCTCTCATCGTGCTCGTGGTGATGGTAGTGTCGGTGGGACGAAAAGGTCGGCCAGTGTTCACTGTTTCGGATTGCCGTCCAAGCGAACGAGTATCGCTATTTCAGGTCGGTGGTCAGGTTTGTGCCCCTGCCTAGTTGCGCTCCGATGACCCAGCTCCTTCGACGCATGTGTCTGTGTGTGTGTTTACTCGGCTTATCAGTGTGGGTAAACATGCACGACGGCAGTGACAGGCGTGGCCGCAGCAGCAACACGACAACGTCGACGGCGATGGCAGCGACGGCGGCAGCAAACCGGACGTGGCAACATAGTCAGCTGCAACTGGTGCACATATCCCTTTGTTCGCATATACGTGCGCACCCACACCCGAGCGCTCCACTGCATCGCATCGACTTTTGGTTTTTCTATTCTAGTCCGCATCCAGCTATTATGCATAGTATAAAATGAAATCAAGGTTTTCTGACGGTTCGACAAGTCCTGTCCTTGTCAAATGACATCAGATCCGTAGGGGCAATAGGTGGTTTGCACACGTGCTCCATTGTTCCAGTGCGTTCGGCCAACGAGGTGCCGTCACGTGACTGATAAGCAAAAGCGTTGACGTTCTCACTCTGCCTCCGCGCTTTTGTCGATTATGTGGCATGTATTTGTACGGTGGTTACTGTAATGGCCGGCTGACATGCATTGTTTTCAAGATTTGGGTGGTGTAGTGTGCTCAGTTGAAAGCGTGGTACCGTCACTTAGCTGGACCAACACTTCCAGACATCTGAGGCGCTAATGCAGATTTATCCCCAGTATCCAACTTCCCAGCTGGCCATTAGTATTGGTAGAAATGTTTTGCGCAATCCGCGTGAGATTCTCTGAAATGCTTTTCACAGCCTGCGTGATCGTATTCGAGGAGGTGCGACAAGACGGAGCTACTAGAAGACCTCACTTCACCTCTGTAAAACCACTTCGAGATATACACGCGAATTCTATGAGATAGGCGCCTCGTAATACGACTCCGGTATCGTGCATCAGAGGAGAACGAGTGTTGAGAAACAAGTATTGTTTGAATCAACATAAGCAATCTGTCCCTCTGCGAGTAAATGCTAGCTATGGTATACTGTGTGCAGGGTAGCCGCGAAATAGGTCTTCCCAACAGCGTCTTTTAAGCGTTTGGTGAGGGCATCAGCCGCAGTGTCAGCTTTGAACGGTAAGTGCATAAAAGTCCCTTCTTGGGTACGCTCATACCTGGCGGTCATCCATTACGTTCGCTATAATATTTGAGGATGAATTCTTCGGGTTACCCTTTTGAACTTAGGGCATCGCTGATCTACAGTTTCTCGCTAACGGTATCAGGTGTGCAAATACTGCGCACCCGAAAGGCAAGAGTACGGACTAGATTTCGTTTGTACTGTAAGGGAACCGCACTGTAAAATTTGGTGTATTGTCCAGTGCAAATGCGTTTTCTACACAATTTTCTGCTGCGCGATAAATTGGTGTTGCAGGTTAGATGTATGTCCATAAATGATAGTCGTTCTCCGGATTCGTGCTCACAGATGAAATACAGATTCCTATGCGTGTCGTGAAAAGCTTTCAAGAGCTTCACCGCCTGTGTTTCGATTTGCAGAGCGTAAAGGTGCAGTTAACATTCAGAGATGACATTGCGGCTGATGCCTTGATCAAACGCTTAAAAGACACTGTTGAGAAGACCTATTGTTGGATCTATGTATATCGGCCATTTCATGCGAGAGCTGTGCTTGCCGAAGCAACTCGTTAGTCAGTTGATTTTACCGTGGCCCAGGTCTTTCGGCACATGATCGTTCGATTCGCTTTGCAGTCTACGTACACGTTTCCACTTGGATCACTGGATATCGATTTACGGATATTGTCACTTATTACGAGAATGTACACAACGGATCCAGAGGTAACATTTTGGAACACACAAACAGCCTTTTTGGTTGCTTGCGACTAGTCACTGCTGTTACGTGACAGTAGGATCATGTAGTGATCAAGATCAAGTACACAACCAGTGTACGCAACCAGTTCAAACGCGTTTCCTTCATCCGTGCATCATCACAAAATGCAATTGCTTCAGCTGTGGCTCGGCCTCGGGAACGTAACCATAGTGAGCGTTTGGTCTCAACTTCTCAACTTAGCATGTCGCGTGCTTTAGGTGGTTCATTCACACATCTGGATAGAACCGTATAAACAATGTGAATGGTTAAGATTCTGGATTGGCATTTATTTTTATTTACCTCACCGTGCACACCCTCCCGACCCTAATGTGGCTCAACAGCACCGCCGCGGGTCAGGTTGTGGATCCGTGGATTGTCTGTGTCCCAGTCATAACTGGCTAAACGTTTTCGCTGAAGGCAGCGCCCACTGTATACCGTGATAGCACTGGGTTCTAAAACCGCTGATACGGGGCTCCCTGTGTGTTTTAAGATCGCTGATAAACTGGCTACTGTCCTCGTGATGTGAAGCGGATATACGGTAAAACCGACTTAACTTGATCACTCAAGGGACTGGACCAAATTGGTCAACATACTGAGGTGGTCAACGTACCGAGGTCTGGATCCATAGTGAACGTTCAAACAATGAAAAAATAATACAGCCAAATTCGAGAGGTAGTCAGGTTATAGAGTTGGTCCACTTCGGTGATATTTCTAGTGACACCGATAAACCTTATTTACTTATGCGACATGCTCGCGCATGCTTTGGGTTTATGCCGGGACATAATAGGGGCGTATATGTGAATATTTTCATCTTCGGCCTTCATTTTCGGCTTCCTATCGCTTTACGGGCATTCGCAGTCATTTGAATCCGGTGCAGACCGCGGAGGTGGACATGATGACGGTCGGTTCGTGAAAGGAGAAGGAACAGGAAAAGCGTCATAAAGTTGGAGCCATTAAAATAAACTCAGACGAGTAATAACCATTCGGGCATAACAGACAAAAGCAGCACTGAACAGGTTATTCATGAGCTGCGAGAACCGCATATTTGGAGTAAGTGTATTCAAGAAAATCGAAGGATGGTACTAGGATTAGTATTTTAATGCAACTCCAGATGAGTCTTCGAAACTTCAGCTGTGTGAGCCCATTGATTGGATGGAATATGCTGGACCAGTTGCCTAAATTTCTCTCAAACTTGGTGTCAGGTTATACGTATCGATCATGATGCGTTGTGCGTTACAGAATATCTGGGAATTGAGATTGGCTTTGTGAATTCCCTTCTTGCTTTCCTCTGCAGGTGGAGATTTGAGGTTTGCATGGCCGCGTGACGGAAAAGGTGTTGTTGACATAGGAGATATAATGCGTTTCGGTTGGCTTCCCTTTTCAGAACGCATCCGTGTTTCAGATTATATCTAGTCCAAAAATGGTAGTCGTTCTCCGGACTCGTGTTCACAGGTGAGATGTAGATTCTGATACGCGACTTTAAAAGCTTTGAAAAGCTGAGTGGAAGTTGCACTTAACCTTCAAAGGCGACTGTTGGGTCACAGCTGACTCCTTCGCCCCACAACCGCAAGAAGAATTCCAAAGACGTGCCGGGAGAGAATCGTATGCACTGAATCATGTCTGTTTAAATAGTTTTAAGAATCGTCTGAAGGGAAGTTACTGAAAGACATTTCAGCCAAGCACATTGCTAAAACCATGCGTGCATAATGAAGCCAATGAAGAGTTATCAATAAAGGAACCAATAAGAGGCAGACACGAACGAAAAGGGAGTGTTAGCAGCCAAGTGACATTGCGATCCGAGGGCAGAAACAGTGACCACAAGCGGCCAATAAAATTAGCGGAATGATATGTTTAAACAAATGTCACTAACATCGATAGCTGAAGGAAACAAATCGGTAAGTAAGAATATTTTCCAAAATACGTATGGGCAATATGTGTCTCCCTAACAGCGACATTGCGGCTAATGCTCTTACCAAACGCTTAACGGACACTGTTGAGAAAGCCTATTGCTGGATCTATCTATATTGGACATCTCATGTTAGATCTGTGCGTGCAGAATGAATTCGTACACCAGTTGCTTTTGTCGTGGCCCACACTTTTCCGTACATGATCGTTCGATTTGGTTTTTAGTATAGGTACGCATTTCAACTTGGATCACTGAATATCGATTTGCGGATATTGCCACTTATTACAAGAATGGACCCTCTCGGAACACACAAGCAACGTTTTTGGTTCATTGTGACTAGTCACCGCTGTCACAGGAGTAGCGGAAACCGCATACTTGGGGTATGTTACTCAAGAGAAAAGAAGGATGAAACTAAGGTTAACTTATGAGTCTTCAAACATATGAGTCTTCAAAGCTTCAGCTGCGTTAGCCAAGTTTCGTGAGGGAGTATGCACAGAGGGGGGGGGTAAATCTGGACGATGTGCCTAAGCGGTTCTAAAACTTGCTGTTAGATCAAACGGATCAAGCAAGATGTGTTGTGTGTTACATAATGGATGGGAATTGAGATTGGCTTGGTGGATATCCCTCTTGCTTTCAAATGCATGTAGAGATCTATAGTTTGCATGGTCACGTGACGGAAAGGGTGCTGTTGGCATAGGAGAGACAAAGTGTTTCGGTTGGTTTCCCTTTTCAGAACGCACTTGAAGAAAGTGCGAATTGTCAGGTTGGTACGACCCAGCACAGTATCCATTATGTTGTCGAGTGAGTGAGAGGTAGGATGTATATGTTTTGCGTTTTCTTGCTAGCCTTCACCTATGGTTGGAAATGTTGGGTTGGTTTCACCGAGTAGATAAAATAGCAGTGATCATGTAACATGTACCGCTAGCTGAACGTGCTACGTGAACTCTCAGTGCACGAGATTTAAACTAA